CGGGTGCTCTTTTCCACATGGTTCGCACGTACGAGTTCGTCAAAGTTTTTAACAGGCAAGCTCCTAACTCGGGAACCAGAAAAGCTAAAAAGCTGTAAACTTAAGGGAATGTTTTCTCACAGTCGTGGTGGCCAGTCTCAATTCTTTTAGACAGAAGCATCTACTGGAAAAAGCAGTGCCGCTAGCGATGAAAACCTACAGGGAACTATGCAAAAAACGCATGTTTGCATCGCCAGTTGGTGCGCTGGCCAATTATCCTCCTTTTGGATACAACACGGTTGCCAAGAAGACAAAGGTTGTCACAAAATTTAGTAAAAATCCTTTAACAAAATTACTCGCGACTTGGGTTGTCAAGTTGTTTAGGCAGCTTGATGTTTAGTACTATGCTAAAAAACCTGAATAACAATCTTAGGCGGAAAAACCAAAACGACTTATTTCTGCGATTTGCCGTAATCGAGTTATTTGAAAGCCATATCACGAAGCAGCACCACAGTGGTATGAATTATTAGATTTCGGTAGTCTGGAAAATAAAATCTAAGCAGTGGTACCTCAAGCGCTTGCTGGAGAGTCATCCACTGTAAATCTGCTGCTGTCGATCGTTCCTTGTTGATAAATAGGCGCAGAAGGACACAGCAGCGCAGGAAATGATCGACCTACAAGAGTCATATCCATTCAACTTTATACTCCAGTTTGTCTTTGCTTACGATCCTCGTGCGTGGTCAAAATAATATTGATTTCATGAAATTGCTTTTGTTAGGTACAAATTTTCTTTTGGGAACGAAGAGAACTCGAAAGTGCTATATGTAGGAATTGTGTAGTGCTGCTTAGTACAAGCTTACTTACTTTAATGCTCTCGAAACGCAATAATTTCGACCTTGCTTCCGAAAATCCACCATAAAATGCGGCCCGGAAATATGGAGAAATCACTGCAAATTCTGCTCGGTCCACTGAAATCTGTAACAAAAAAAAGATGATTATGCTAGCACTTGTTGAAGTGTCATCGCCTCACAGCTCTTGTGCACTTTTGCTGTGAGCGATAACTCATATAATCGAGAGGTCATCCTTGTATTTGTGTATGCGTATGCTGGAAATCAGTGAAATTTGCCACTCACTTTCATCTCAGCAATCAGGAAAATTGGGAGACTGAAATTCAGAATGTACCCGATGTGCCACCTCCCGTTTTAACAACATCGCTCATACGCCCCCATCTCGCATACGGACCCGAGAAACAAATGTGTAATTTTTTCGGTGGGGAACGACTTCGAAAACCTGACAAGACAGGAAGCTGGAACTTTGCAGGAATGCTCTCTGTACACGTATAAGCTAAAAATTTCACAGCTACTGCACACACTCGCACCCCGTGTGCGGTCATGTCAATGTCTGCAGCTGCATAACGCCAACTCGAAAACGAGCAGGAAAGCAGCAACTAAAATTTGTTCAGAATATTGATCGTCGATATGGAAAATCGTACGCCCAGAACGAATTTCGATTTGCACTTGTTTCGCAGTTTGAGGCACTTCGAAGATAATTGCAGTGGAGAGAGATGTTTCGCTTACTAGAAAAGCTGCAGAGCTGAAACTTAGCAAGGATATTTTAAACTCATGTATGCTCTTAATTCAGTTTGGAAGTGAAACTCGCTGCAAGAGGACATGGCAAATACTTATTATGCGTTTTTTCCAGCTATGCAATGCAAAAACGCACATTGTCGAGGGTTTTCTGTGTGTG